AGTTTCTAATGTAGGTACTGACAGAATGGAAAAACCACAAGATGCTGATGAAAGACTTACTACCTGAAGTCACCTTTCTCTGCAGTGACTGAAAAAGTGCTAGCTGATGACACTATTTTAAAAGGTGCCAACAGTAGCAGACAGATCAGCTAATACATTTATAGCACAAATGAATAAATTTTAAGAGGATAAACAAATAAGTGCATCGTTCAGACTGGTGCAAAATAACAAATTTTAAATTTTCACCTAATAATAAATATTTATCCTGTAACTGTCAGAAAAAAAAAACCAACACAGAGAACAATCATGGTTGTCAGTATCAAGACAAAAGTTTGTGTGGTAATGCATGTTTTGCTTCCTGCCAAGGCTTGCCAGAGCAACCATTCTTCTCTGAAAGATGCAGGACAAGTGGTACAGCCTGTCAGCAGTATTCTGCACTACTCTGGCTTAGAATGACACAATCCATTTCCAGCAGTAAAGGAGGAGCATCAGATGTGAACTTCTGGAGGCCCCCTCTCACAACATGACACCAAATCTTGGCTTCAGGCAGGCATATTTTCCCACAAATACGCACACAACTCTATTGCAAACACTACCTAAACAGCCATTTGTGTCTCATTTTAAAAAGGTAGCGACCTAGATGGACATTCTACGAACATATCTGACATTTTTAAGGTCTGTAGAGCCACACCATAATAGATGTCCACACTGTTTCTCTATGTCCTTCCAGTATTTATTTAGGTATGACATTTGATTCTGCTCCATGCAACAAGCAACACCCTGCCAGAACCATTTCTTGGGAGTAGGGCAACAATGTCTGCAGAACTGTTTCTCTAGAAACACTTTCTACACATTCCCTAACTGATAGGCCATATTTCACCAGCCACTGCAGTAAGGCCATAGTGTTCCCAGACATCAGTCTATCCACCTCCCACCTTATCCAGTGGGTAGCTTATGCTAGTACCCACCTTCACTACTAGACACTTCATAGTACCCCAAATACTCCCTGTTGAAACCAGCTTCATGATCAGTATTGAGAAAAAAAAAAAAAAAACAGAAAAAAATTTATCATAAACCAGGAAAGAGTCCTAAGTGTAACCAAAAAAGCATCACAAACATCAGTGTATAATACTTTAAATTCATGTATGACTACCTTATTTTTGTGTTATTTAACTATAATATAAAGGATAAATAATTTTAATATTTAGAAGTCATTAAAACAGCTCTGCACAAGATATGATCCCCATTCATTAGTCAGCTAAGATGAATGAAAGAAATGTTATCACTTTTTTTGTGAAACACAAACAAGGTATTCATCAAAGTCATTATGTTGATACTGAAATCACAAATACATAGCAAAAGGTCTGATCCTGCCATCAGACTTATATAGGTGGAAGTTTGACTTCCAGTCATTCCTATTAGTGGAAAGATCTTAGACAGTTATAGTTGAACTGAATATTTGGAAAAATAATAAAGGGAATACAGAGTTGACCTCAAATTAGCAGCAAAATTCCCACTATTATCCCTAATGTCAGGTTTTAACCCATATAAGTGGATTTGAATGCACTGAGATAACAGCTCCATAAATATTGATATCCTTATGAAGTGGAAAGAAAGAGTTTGAACTTTCTCTGCTAAGTTTGCCTGTGCACAGAGGTCTTCTATAATATAAATTTAAATACGCAATCTGTTTTATAATGTTTTCCATCATCTCTCTTCTCCATATGTTCTCCCACTAGGAATCTAATGAGTTCTACATATGAGGGATGACAAGGGAATATGCCTGAGAAATAATTCCAGCAATTATGGCATATGGAGGCATTGTTTTTGAGTCATTTTTGCCATGAACATTAGGCAGAGCATCTGGGACCAAATTCTGTCTACCTGCCTATGGACATTAGCAAAATCATCATCTCCCATTTGTAAATTCTGCTGAGGTAATCTGCCATACAGAGAGGACCATTTCATCAGCTTTATGATCAGAGAGCATATTGAAACACAGTCCATTTATAGTTAGGAAAAAATGCTTCTCTTTAGAAAGAATAGTTTAAACTGGAAACTATTTTAAGATAAAATCATAGAAACACATCTTCCTCTCTTCTCTCCAAGAACTGCTAAGAGCCTGTGTTCAGTTCCAAGCCACTATGTATTAAAAATCCTTTCTCATCACTACTAAAGTTTTGTAAGAACTGTCTGGATCCCAGCAAAAGAGAAAATGACCAAAGAAAAGTAGAAAGAACAACAACAAAAAAGAGACAGAAACTCTAATTCAGTAATAGGAAGGGTTATATTCTCCACGCCCAAATAGGACAAGGCATCCATAATTAATTATAAAGAGAGAAACAGACTAAAAAAATTCCTTTATGTGAGGACACAGCAACTAAAATAAGTAGCATATATTTTGTAAGTTCTGGATATTAGTTTTCAATACTAAGACACAAGGCTGGAGAATTCAAGTACAGTTTCTGTCATGTTTGTTATGACAGTAAGAAGAAAAGAGTTCAAGAGATTCAACCCATATGCTGATATGGGGTAAATTTTCAATTCCACATATTCCTCATACTCAAGAAAAATTTCTCAGCAATGTGAGCAACCTAAGCATTTTTATACGCTTTTTTCCCAGTTGTGCAGTTGAAGCAGTGAAAGCAAAGCCATAAATCCCAAACTACAGTGTCACTAGGTTACTTCAGTGTTTTAGGGGGGGAAACAAGAATGTCCCTGCTGTTATAGATGATCTAAACCTAATTTTACAGATATGAATGTAAACATAATTTAAAGAGCTAATACAGAACTTTTACAGTTAGGGTTACATATAAGCAATAATATTTCTATTATACAAACTATTTATTTAATTCAGTTGGGTAATAAATTGGTTTTCAGAACTGAAAGCCAGATATATTCCAAGTCTTTCAATCATTTTTGATTGAAAAATAATATTGATGGAATTAGTGATATTTAATCAAGAGAATCTACTACCAAGGAGTAATTGGATATCACTTCCCATTGCCACACAGAATTACCTGTATACTAACAAGGAGGGAGTGAAAATAAAGCTCAGCTTCAGGATGCTAACTGTACCCCAGTGCTCACATGCTGGATTCACTTCCCTAGAACCTACATCTCTGGCTATGAAATTATACTACAATGGTTTTGACTTGTCTGGCATCCCACTCACAGTAGTCTGAGAAAGATCTGTCATTCCCTTATACAAGAGTTTCCCATGTCACCATTAGTGGCCCTTCTTCCAGATGGTCTTATATTACTTTTAGATTAAGAGACATTGACAACACTTGTAATCCTGTAAATGTGTCAAAAAAAAGTTGTGGGAAATGCAACCTTTTCATATACTGCCTCTTCTAATTACCACATAAGCAGTACAGATGAATACAGAAGATACAAAAACAACTAAAATATGTGCAGTGACTCTCTGTAAAGTGATATCAGAAAGTTACATAACCTCTTCCAGAAACAAGATCAAAAATGTCATCGGGAAATATTTTCTCATTCTATGAAAGAATAAACAGAAAAGTTTATTAGGTTACAAACTGCACTATAAAGACAAACAAAGTGATTAGGTAATTCTTCTTATTCAATTTAATACCACTGAATCCTTGAAAAATCATTTGATGCCATGGGATTGATCAGGTGTGACATTTTTTGACACAGACTTATCTAACTATTGGCAAAAAGAAACTAGAGATTAAGGCAATACTTCTTGTACAAACCAAAACTATACTCCCTTCCCAATATCCTTGCCAATATCTTGGTTAACCACAGATGTGTAAAATTTGAGGCATGCAGGAGGAGGCAGTAAATCAACAGATAAGGATGCCAATCACATATTTCTGTTTTGTTTTTATAGACTTTCCTGGAAAAGTATAAAAACCAGCTGTACAATTATAATGAGCAAAAATTCCCTGCATATATTTTTATGAAACATAACAAAATAAAATTCTTTATAGCAGATTTTTAATTTCAAAACAAATGTATCTGATGCACTCTGTGTTGTAGTGTTGTTTTAAAGGCTAGCATTCACTTATGACCAATAAACTAGATATCACCAAGATCTAGACTTGAATGGTTTTTAAGCTTTATTTTAGATTTATTAGATCTGAATTGGAATTTTTTTTCATTAAAATTCATATCAGGATTTCCTTTATGTTTTGTTGAACTCATCCAAGACATTCAATGAGAGAGCAGTGATTTTTCTTTCCATCTCAATGCACTGCCACTTAGAACTGCGGAACAGGAATGCATATTCTGCAGTTCAGAGTTCCTGATGATTACTGAATTCAAAGGGTAACATGGATTTCCCTCTGCTCATAATGACTGATCATTTTTGTAAACAGATGAAATAATCTAGAAAGTAGTATATGAGGAATAAACGAGTAATTAAAGCAAGAATCATCCTCACATGCCTACAATATGAATGCCCGTGGCTGATCCAGTCCCCTGTTCTCCATTTTCAAAGGCAGCACTAAACCAGCACTGTGGATAGCTGAACTGTGGTTCCCAGCTTGCTTCAAGGTGCCCAGAGTTCACTGTCAAATTGGATTTTTTTCCCTTTCTTTTAAACAGATTAACCTGAAATATTACTTTTTCAGGGATGTCTAGCATCCATGTCCTGTTGCTTTTCAAAATGTCTAAATGATAATTTTTCAGGATTCACATTTTGTGAAATAAAAAACATTTTTATTCCGTCTGGCCTGAAGACAACAGGTCAGTACACCCACCAGCATTTGCCATAACAAGGCTAGAACAGTTGTGCTAGATATCAGTTTCCTTTCAAAAAGGACCTTTTAATGTGGACCTTTTAATATTCCCTGCTCTACTGAAGAAATATAACGCTTGGGATTCTTATTCAAGAAAAAATTATTTTGTTCCATGGATAAACAGAATAGATCTCCAATGTGCACATCCATACAGGGAACTCTATTTTATATTACAATTTTATTCACTTGCTATGAATAGTCACAACATTAATTACTGCAGATAATCTATTCAATATATTTGAAAATCCATTTATTTTTATTTATTGATATGCATGTGTTACACTTCTATATAATACAGTACTTTCAGTATTGGTTTAAGAACAAGAAAACAAAGAAAACATTTAGTTAGAAGCATGATATAGATTTTTGGCCAAAGAGAGGCCATATTCAGAGTCTACAAAACAGCACATTTATATTTTGCACTGTCCCAGACAATCTCTTTAAGATGTTACCTTCTGTCCTGAACTTGTTAGCACAAATCCATACAATACTAATCCATCCTAAAATACTGGGATACCTAGTTGCTGCTACAGTTTATTCTAATTAAATTTTAATCAGAAAATAAGATCTTTTCCTGCCAAAAATTTTTTATTACTTCTCAGCAGAATGATAGAATATACTTCGCAATTTTATTCCCAACAGTCATTTATTTTATTTAAGCTCTCCTGTGCAATAATAAAGCAGAGGTAATGAAATGGTTTTGGAACAACAGGGGCTACTGTGACAGGCAGAGCACTCCAGGGTGTTCATCTATCACGGAAACTAATATATAACTAAACTAGCCATGTCAATGGTTTGTAATGATAAAATATTTTCCCTCTTCTGTTTTGTTTTGGTTTTTTTGTCTTTTGGGGGGTTTTTTGTTTGTTTGGTTTGTGGTTTGGTTTTGGGGGGTTTTTTTGTGAATCTGGTAACCACACATAAGCTTACTCCTACATACTTTTTACTACCATTGTGTGTGTGGCTTTCATGTCAATTCACCAAAGCATAAAGTCAGAATTCCCTTACCCTCTCTGGTCAGCTTCTTTATGCAGTGTTTCTAAAAGGAACTGCCAAATTTCTGTTGTATCAACATTACAGATGGTACAATATATATTAAATGGAGTATAAAATTATACATTCTGTAATAACTTAGAAAAAAGCTCAGAGATGCTTAAGGCCTTTAAATATTGAGGATTTTTTTTCATGTAACAGCACATCGCAAAGATCAAAAAAATTGCTACCAAAAAAAAAGAAAAAAGAAATTTTGGAAAGAATCAGATCTGAATTGGATGACTGTAAGCAAGCAAAATACCCATGAAGTGTAAATCTGGGTGGGCACTAGGACTTTTTTCCTTTATAGCAAACAGACTGAGCAGACATCTACATAAGCATCCATCAGTACTTAGGTTCAAGTAAGAGATTTTATTTTTTAATAAAAAGACAAAAATTCTGAGTGATTACCATCCAATTTCATAATGGCAAAACTCATTTACATCCCTGCCTACCCTGACAAAAAAAAGATGAAATACCATCATTGACTGCTTACCATGAACTTAAATCAATTAAAGGTTAGGAAAGTAAAGTACACATTGGGAACACCCATCTCCTTCAAACTAAATGGAAATGTATATCTTAGAGGTATAAAATGCTTTATAATGGAGGTGGTAATTGAGTTTTGACCACTACTTTTTTAACTGTTAAGTTGCAGTGGCTGATTAGCCTTAGGCAAACATGTCAGCCTGACTATACAATCTAATATGACTGGTGTATTCAGATAACTATTACTTGTCAACAATAATTATTAACAATGGATATATAATTCCATTCCTATAACAAAAGCAACTTCAAGATGTTGAAATGTGTATCTTTCAGAGCTGCAAGATTTGAACACAAATAAAAATGTCTAAAACTGCGCCATGCCAGAGGACCATTTCTGCAACAGAAATTTAATTAAAGCAATGTGCAGTACCACCAGCAATCTGAAAGTGGACCAGGGATCATTTTAGAGGGAAGGATCCAATGCAGTTTGGAGGTTGACTTCATCAAGATGAAAAGCCACTGGTCTGCAATGGAGAATCCAACAGTTTGCTGCTTTTCTGCACCTTTAGAGTATCAACACATGATTACAGCTGCAAATTCCTCAGCAAGTGCAATTTTACAAGTGTACACAGTTCAATCAGTTGAAATCTTTGTGACACAGAAGTTCAAAATGACTTTCCAGTAGTTTTGATCTCAAGGCTGTTGCTGATTACAAGACAGATTCTCATTGAAACAATTGATTCTGAAGGATACACTCCAACAGTATAAAATTTCACTTCAAGGATTGCCTGGAGGAATGAAATTCTCATTGTTGTATTTAATTTTATCAGCCTTGATACTGACTTGATTTGTCTTTAGCTATCAGGTTACCTGTAAAGAAAAAAGAAAATCAGAAAATCAAAACTGGACATACTGAATCTACTTCTGAAGTACTGGAAAATGAGACTGAAATGTAAGATCTCTGTCCAGCAAAGCACTTTCAATTGTTTTTAAAATAGGTGAATAATCACAAATGGTATTAGATGGCATTGCTTCCCAACCTAAATTGTGTGTTTAAGTGTTTTGTCAGAATTGGATCTGACAAGGAGAAATCAAAATGTGACCATGCCTAAAAATATAATAAAAAAATTTAAAGTTCACAAATTACCAACCCACAAATTTTTGTTTTCTGTTATTCTTTTTTTTATTGTTAAAACTTATATATAGTAACAACTATGCTTTTAAAACTGTTAGCTATTGCATATAACAGTGGCTGATACTGGAAATGTATTCTTCCATTCTTTGCATGCTTCTTTACAGGACAATCATAGAATCATTTATGTTCTAAAAGGCAATGTCCTATTAAAGGCTAAATGCATCTCAGCAAATAAATACTTAGGGGAAAAATACTTGGTGGAGAAACAAGACAAAAATCATTCATACATTAACGAGAGAGAGAGAGATTCTGTTATTCAGAAGGCACAAAATTACCAAGGATTTAATTTATAGTGGTTTCACTCAGCCTAACATGAAACAAGAGTGAAACAGAAGGACCACAGAGTGGGAGACAAAGCATTTCACAGTAATTGGATTTTCCCTCTGTCTGATTTGGATTTTAAACACTAAAAGAAAAAAACAACTGTCATGTCAAAGACATGACAGGAATATTTCTGCTGTGTCAGTAGATACAATTAATCACCATGTAACATTTTAATATCAAATTGTGTCATGTGTTAATTCCCCAGCTCTTGAGGAACAACTCATTGGAATGGTCACAACAACACTTTATGACATCGAGGGGTATTTGCTTCTCATTTTGATCACAGAGAGAAGGGTCATGCTCCTTAATGATGAAACATTCTTTTGCCCTCAGCAAAACTGTTTGCATACAGCTCTTGTCAGCTCTGCAGAGCAAAAATATAGAAAAGAATACTAAAAAGACTGTTTGAGGAGTTCATTGCTTCAGTTTGCCTTCTCCACCAAGTTGTTTCTAGGAACTGCACTTAAGGCAATAATAAAATCGTGCTTTCTGATTTTTATGATACATGGGCTTATTTATTACACTGCTTTTATTTTGCTTTGTTCTTGTTGTTGGAAACAGCCTCATGTGTCCCCTTCTACAGTGGAAGATTGCAAAAAAAAATAAAGAATTAATTTAAAAGTCAGGCTACATATTTCAGTGTCCTGCACTGAAAAAAAGCTCAAAAGGCTGATGCAGCATCTTATTGTTATTTATGTTTTGCATTATTGTAACAAGTTGGAATTTTACTCATGGAATCAGGTGCCACTGAGATACATAATGTAAAATACACATCTTCTGATCTTATCCGCAGGTGATTTTCATTAGCTTCACTTACAATATATGTCTATCTCTATCTACCTATCAATCTGTCTATCTATCTATCTATCTATCTATCTATCTATCTATCTATCTATTTATCTATCTATCCAGTAAAGAGGCACTAAGGCGAATAAGGGACAGGAGCTTCTTCATATGAGGAAAGGTTGAGAGCACTGGCACTGTTCAGCCAGGAGAAGAGGAGGCTCAGGGGGGATCTCATCAATGTGTACAAACACAAGAAAGGAGGGTGCTAAGAAAATGGAGCCACACTGTTTTCAAGTGGTGCCTCGTGGCGGGAGAAGGGGCAATGAGAACAAACCAAAACACAGGAGATTCACTCTCAGGAAAAACTTTTTTACTGTGAGCATTACTGAGTACTAGCACAGGTTGCCCAGGGAGGTTCTCCATCCTTGAAGATATTCAAAAGCTGTCTGGTCCTGGGCAGCTGGTTCTAGGTGGCTCTGCTTGAGCAAGGGGATTGGACTTCCAGAGTTCCCTTCCAAACTCATTATCCTGTGATGTATTTTTTCTATTACATCCAGCTCTGCGAGTGCATTGGCTAAGGTGATAAACTGCAGCTAGCAAAAAGAGTATTTTTATACATACATGACTGCTCAGTTACAGGGCTGCTTGGAGGTGCAAATGTGTTCTCTTCAGTCACAAAGAAACTCCGTAAAATCATAATCTCCAGATCTATTTGCTCCCCCATCTAGCTCTACAACCTTGTGGTGAAAATATCACTATAAAAGCAGTATACACTGTCACATAGATTAAATAGGTGATATAAATAAGAAAAAAATCTGATAGCCATTCAAATCTCTGCATTATAACAGGTGGCTAATCATATACAAAGGTCATTTTGCTTATACAGACTGTACAGGAAGTCAGGCTGCACTGCATGTTCTTAGTTTTTACATTACGTGATTGGAGTTTTTAACTGCTTTCCCTTGACAGAATTTTTATTATTCCACATCCTTTTTTTTTTTTTTTTTTGTTCTGTTAACCACCAGGTCACACAATGCTACTCCAAGTAACACATACAGTGGTCCATATTTGCCTCTAAGTGAGATGGTAATGCTTGTTATGTGCAAGCACAGATTACACATTAACATTAATGGAAGTTATATATCCATACACCATACGCATTAGGGAGTGAATAAACCTCTTGGTTCGTAAAGGCACTTTCATAAAGAAGCAGTAAAATTTTAGCTAATACCTAGTGATGGTATTCCCAGAAATGCTTAATTTTGGATAGAGTAAAAGCTATTTGGTTTAAGTGTCTGGGAAGTAAGGTAGTAAGGTACTGTGCCAAAGGCCTTTATAGAAAAGGGGGACCAATAACAGTATGTGTCTGATCTTTAAAATCCTAAGAAAACAGTAACACCCTGAATAGGTGCAAATCAAGTCTATTCAAGTTTTCAGTTAATAATTATTATATATGGAGAATTAACAATACAAATGAAAAAAGTACATGAAACCTAGGTGTTGATCTGAATTAGTTTGTTCATTTTTGGAACATAATTACTCCATTTATGCTAATAAAATTTTTCACATAGTTGTTATATCATAAATACACTGCATTAGACTCTCTTCACTTTCTTGTCCTAAACGTGTAATTAAAGTATAATTACTCTGCAGTTGCAGACTTTTTAATTTAAATTAGTAAGTGGCTGCTGTAAATTGGCTGTAATTGTATGTGAACTCACTTTTTTTTTTTAACTCAACAATATACATGCATATAAATGCAGTTGAAGTTTTCTACATTCTTCTGCTCACAAAATGTTCAGAACAAACTCAGTCTTCGGGTAGAATATTTTTGCCAGGGTAACCCAGAATGGAGTGGAGATGAAGGAGATGAAAAGACCTCAAGGCAACACATTAGAAAAGCTACCAGCTCAAGAAATTTTTTTGGACAGCTTACATTCCAGTGCTGCTCACAATGGGTGAAAAATGTCCTCACTTGTGAAATCCACACAGTGGATGAATACATGAGACAATACTGTCTATTTCATAAGAATAGATTCCCAATAAAAATCCAGACAAGTCTTTTACTCAAGACTTCCTTTTTCCTAAGAAAAGGAAGGGAGATAAAATAAAGACTATAGGATGTAAAGAATGGCTGAGTATATATTCCCTGAATAGTAAATCTTTTCCCTACTTTGATGCACCGAAGCATCAAAGTTATGGAACCACAATTAGGTATAGTACAAATCTTCTATTTCTTCAAAGAAAGAAATATATCACTAATAGTTTGCTAACTACAGAAAAGTTTATACATGCAAATGAGGCACATAATTAATTTTTATTTAATAGTGTTAGGAGAAAATAGATGCCAATATATGGTATATTGAAATTAAGTGTGTGCTATAACATTTCATAAGACAACTTTGTACATTACAACTTTTTGACTGGCAGCTCTTTGAATTTTTTCTATGTTTATTGTAAACCATACATAAAATCCACATCGAAAACTGGCTCTTGAGTTTGCAAAGTCAAGCACTTGAACGTTAGCAAATTGCCTTTTTATGTGTGCCCTTGCAACTGCAATTCTATCTCTTTTCCATCATGCACAGTAAAAAGAATTTAGTGGGTGAGAAGATTTGGAGGGAAGTCTATAACAATGTCGTCAGGACTATGTATCAATGAAAATGCAGAAAGGGGCAAATTTTAAAGCCAACGTTTCATCACTCCATAGATGGAAAGAATAATGGACTCTCTGTTCAAGGTTTTCTCCAAAGAAACAGAAAGAACTTAATACTTAGAGGTTTTCTTTCTAACTAGAACTGTTCCATCAACCATATAGGATTTTGTGTGTTCATAGCCTGCGTCATCTGAGCATACTCAAGCTATCTTTTTCTCTTTTTTTCTTTCCTGAGACATATAAAACAGAGAAAGGAAATTATTTTATGTAAAAGCAATTAATAGCTCACCCTGAGCTAAGTGGAATTTCATGAGACAAGGAAAAGCCATCTTGGCACCCCTAGCATTCTTCTCTAAAATATTAAAGACCTGTGGGAAACAAAAATGGTATGGAGATTTCAATCAAAATTAAAAAGAGTCTCACAAATTTATTTAATGAACAACATGAGATAAGCTAAGTACAGGGAATACCACATGAATCCCTTAAGTAAGTGCTTAAGGAAAGAGGTCTAAGGAATGGCTTGAAGAAATGCCTAGCTGTGGATTGTCCTCCAAGTCATAGAGATAAGACAGGGATCCCATACGAAAACAGCCTTATTTGTATGCAGTACATTTCCATCCATTTTGTGTCCTTATTGCTGTATTTTTTCTTGTAATGTATGTAAAAGACCACAAAAAATTAATATAATGGTCAACAAAGTGATTCTTTAGCAAATGGAATGAACTTGAGAGGGCTATATCAGTCATATTTTTTCATAACTTCAATAACTTTCTTTTGGTAGTGAAAACTTAATACAAATATTACCATGCAGAAACAGAAGGGCCCATATAACCAGAAACAAACATCTGCCAATGCTTTTTTTCCCCTTATGCCCTCTGAGAATGAGGTTGACGTTGGAAATGAATCTTTTGAACAGAAGGAAGCACACTATTTCCTGGAATTTCAAAATTCTTACAGTGTTTTTGCCATGCACTATCATTCACACGTGGCTTATGAAAACAAATGACAGAGTGCATTGCCACTTGTGCATTTACATTCAATGAAATCGTGTAACTTATAATCTTGGAAAATGCTTCTGTTCTAACACTACTATCTTGTACCAGTGATACTCAAAAGTACTTTGCAAATGTTAACAAAGACAGGTTCACAATTTTCTGACAGCTGGAGAATCATGTAATTTATTTTCTAATGAATTAGGGAAACTGGACAAAAAGGTGTTAAGGACTTTTCTGCAATAGGGCTCCCATATGCATATGCACTTAACAGTAAGTAGGTGTAGATTTGGGTGTTCATGCTAGATAACTAAGCTTCCGGAGGAACGAGGAACCATTTCAAAAGACTGAGAAATATTGAGGTGACCCAAGCCCATTTCAAGGGACCTCCAGTAGAGAACCATGAATTAGGAAACAGGCTTTCCTGTTTCCTTACTTGTTTCAGTATTACAGATGACTATTTGACTTGGTCTCGGGAAAAAAGGCAAAATTTGAGTGATTTGTGAGCAGTCTAGAAAACAGATATTTAATGATAACTATATGGATTCAATTACCTTTAGTGAAAGTTACATATTGAAAGACACTTTTTCAAGTCACAAAATATTTCATTCCTGTTTACCTAACTTTTTATGTCAAGACTCAAGAGCTTTAAACTGTTCCCTTAGCTTTACTTTAGGCACTATAGTATGTAAAGTATTAGTCTAAACATGTTCCCAAGTCTGTAATGGAGCAATTTAGAATACAAGATTCTCAGGTCTGTCCTTCAGCAAACAAGATTAGTTCATTTCATTAATTAAACAGAACATCACCCGGTACACTTCAATGGCTCAAAAGTTTCACATCTTTGATAACCATAGACTCCACAACTTTTTAATTCTTTCATACTTTTACTGCATTGTGATTAATCAGAACTGTATTCATGACAATTCTTGTGCTTAGGACCTTCCATTATAAAGAGAGAAACATACTGAAAACTCATTTCATACAATGTGCTTTGAAATATAACTTTGTACTCCTTATTTTCTCATTGCTCCTAATGATTTCAGCAGGAGATTTTTAGTGGTAAAGTGAAGATCTAGACAATGTAATTGAAACTAAAAGGCTTTGGAAACCTTTCACATGTAAATTGAGCTTTCCACTTGCTTCAAGGAATCTGAGAGGTTGGATTAGAAAAATAGGTAAAGCAAAAATACTTTAGAGCATGGCATATGTTCCTGTAAATGACAGGGTTCTTCATCTTTAGCATGGTTTTAAGACTAAACAGACAACATCTAGCACATTTTAGGAATACAGTGAAAATAGCTCTTTCTTTACTTTTTCTGAAATTAAGTAATCCAGTATAGAATACTGAGCTTTCAACTACAAAGGCAACACCAGACTGAATGTATCGAGATGGCCTTCCTCTCTAAGTGCTGTTCTCCAGAGCATCTGTTGTTTTCCCATGAGAGTGACTAGCTTGAGTGACTGGGTCTACCTTTGAAAGTACTGAGGGAAGAAATATATCTTAAGGCACCAAGAAGCATCTAACTGATACACTGAGGCTATTTAGGAGCACAGTGCAGAGTCTCTCCAACCACCCTCCTGAAGCTGTGCCTGAATAAGCCACAGTTTCTCAGTGTCTGCAGCAAACTGCACAACTACAATGAGGAGTAAGATACAACAATTCCTGTCAACAATGTGTAAACCTGTATTTGTACACACCTGCTGCTCTGTGAGTAATAAACGAGGGCTGGAACACATTTTCTGGAGTGGTGTGACTCTTTATTCCTCAACGAACGTTCTGGCCCTTCCTTAGAATCCGACCAAGACTAGGATTCATCACAACTAGTGCTCCAACGTGGAGCCAGAATATTTTTTGTGTGGAAAAAACAAATATTGTCATCAGGCACAGCAGAAACCTCCTTTCTCTACTTCTCCATTCGGCCTTGAGGAGTTTTACACGTTTGCCTAAGAAACAAACACATGTCAACTACTACACTGTTATGAAATTAGTTACAGAAAACAAAACTGGGATAAATAGAATTTTTTTTAAATTACAAGGAAAAGTACAAAATAACAGGAAGAAACAAATTTCAGAAGCAGAGCAAATTCTCTTACGAAAGGTGCATGGTTTTAAAAATACAAGCATATTCAAATTCAAACTCTTATTTGTCACCAAAAAGCAATAGAAACTGATATATTAGACTCATGTTTGAAAGTATATCAGCAATATTTAAGTATGACAAAGCAGTAATTGAAAAGTTCTTCGAGAATAAGTCCATGGATAGATAGACCTGTGATACAGAAAAGAGTCATGAACTCAGAATACAATTCTTTTAAAATGAAAGATATGAGTGTGTTCTTATCATAAATGTTTAAAATAAAAACAAACAGAACCAAAACAAACAGGAAAAAAAAACAAACAAAAAAACCCCTAAAAGTTTAGTCTGAACTGAGGAGAATTTTATTAGAGACATTTCTATAGTTAGAAGGTTACAGGAAACATCATAAAATAACAGATGACACATTTCAAAAGACAATATTCAATTCAAACAGATACTTCCTTATCCAGATAGTTGAGGTAGATTTTGGACCTGCTGATAATGATTGCTTCTGAAAAAGGTTGCACAGCACCTCAAAAGATCACCAAAATTTCTTTAAGTTTCTTCTTTTTTTTTCTTTAGGGTTTTTAACTTAAATATCATGCTGCAGAATCATTAGAAATATACATTACAAGTTTAAACTCATAATTTTAATAACTTCTTGCTTAAATAAAATCTCTACACATTTAAATGCTATGAAACAAATATGGTTCTGTATTTATATTTCCTTGAACTGGATAGTTTACAAAATAAAATTAATTGGTACAGCTAACTGGGAGAATTGTAATAGTGAATAGCCGATGAAGACATATGAGTTATGTCAAGGCTAAATCCAATTCATTAGTCTTTCCAATGCACTTCATTATTATTGTTTTCCAAAAGGTTATGCCACTACAATGCACATACCTTAACTTTCTCAATGTTTCTGTAACTCAGTAGAGAAATTAACTTTATGGTAGAATTGTTTTAATTTAACAAAATGTTTTCTTTGTAGACAAGAATTTTATATTAAAAGAAGACAAACATAAACCTTATTTTACTTTCTGTAACAGATAATAACTGTAGCAATTCAGACAAGGATATATCCTCTTGAGGTTTTTGCATTGATCGCAACTCCATAGAGGGACTGCAGCATGACGGCATAAAAGACTGCAAGACAATTAATTAAATAAATGAAATTTACTTCTCTTCTATAGCACTTATTCCACCTAATCATCCCAAGTGGGAGATAAAACAACCTCCTTCCTTTCTCCATATGAGGAACCTGAAGCATAATAAAGAGTCTTGCTACACTTTTGACTGTAAGAAAGTAAAAGGAGATGGAGGGATGGGAACAGAGTCTGTCTGGTTTTGGCTTTATCTGACTTCACTTACCTAAAAATAAACCTACACTTGTTTTGGTTTGGAAAGGAAAACTTATAACAAGTTGTGTTTATATTCTAAATATGAAAAAGCAAAACAAATTAAAAAGAAAAACAAAACCACCCTTGTTTTAAAACTAGACTGAGGTTTAAAATTGCCTTACAGGTATAAAGGATTTTCATATTTTAATACATTTTTCCATAAATGGGGTAAGATTGAACTTCACATTATCCCCACTAAAAAAATCAGGCAGTCTAAATTAATCATGTCTGAGATCTTATACTTCTTCAAATTTTTTGTGGGTATTTTTTCCTGGGATTTTGAGGGGAGAGTAATAAGGTATGTGGATAAGATCAAAATAGAAATGTAAATTATTTCCTTACCTGTAATGTTACCTTCTCTATAAGGGTACCTGCTGCTCTGTTAGTGCAGTACTGATGTGTTTTTTGCCTTTGTCCCAAGCTTCAGAGATTCCTTTGGTGATTTTTCCCCACTTGCTTACCAGCTTCCACTGCTGGCATTTTGAGGTAGTACACTCACACTTGGCTCCACGAATACTGCCACGGCTGAGGGAATATAAGACAACTAAAAAACAAGTTAGAAAACACCACAGCAATATCCAGGCAGGAAAAAAAATGTTTCAAAACAATGAATCAATCATCAACTTGAAACCTTTGATCGCTTTCCTTTCTCTTTTCATTCATTTAGGATCTCCACATAAAGAAAAGACTTTTCTGTGCTTGGAGAAATTTTAGCCAAAGTAATGGGTGCTGACAGAGTAGTGGGTACCCATTCAGAGAATATAAAATTATTTTAAGGAAATCTAATTTTAACTTTCTCCAGTATGAGTACCCATCATGCCATCACTCCAATACAGATAAGAAAGAGAAGAAAGGTGGCAGATTTGGAGGATTTCAGAAAAATCCTGTCATCTTTTCTCAAGTCTTATTAGAACTGTGAAAAAGGAAGACCCAAGGCCTTTTCTCTTAGAGACTGCAATAGATAAACAATGAGAAGGATTTCTCATTGTCCAGGAAAATAACACATAAAGTATGCTTCACTAAGAAGTAGTCAAGATTATGGTTGCTTCTCAATTAAGAGTTGTAGTCATCTTGGTCAAAGATGAAAAGAACAACCACTACTATCACTTTAATAAGTAAATGTTTTCTTGCTTGAGCATTATGGAGATGTCCAGGTGAAAGTTACAGGGTCTTACAACTCCTCTGTACTGGGGATCATCTGGACACCGTTTTTGAACTCCACAGTACCCAGAAAAGAAGTATCCTGTCAAAGGAAAAAATGAATGATAGAAATTTGGGTAAGAATCTGATGTGGTTTTGAATTTAACTTGTCTTTCTAAAAGAACCTGTCCAGTTTTTTCATACCTGCATCTTCTCATTATCTTCTAACTAACATGTGACCCAAGACAAGATAAGTATGAATGAATTAAAGTAGCTAACTGCAATTAGATGCTGGTATTCTAAAATCTCAAGTAATGAAGGAAAGACCAAAATGCTCTGAAGAGGTCATTGCCTTCAAATATCAGGAATGTTCAGTATCAGTTATGTGCTTTAAGGTCAAGAGAAAGAAAAAGGACTCTGGCAATTTCTTGAATGACCATCCAAAAAGAAATTGGCTTCCCAAGTAATAAGCTTCAAATTTGCCAAGGTACATTCTAGAACAAAGTCTCCTCTTCCTTTTTTTGTACTTTGAGGATGATGAAAAATAATTACTAGCTAGTGGAATTGGAATGATGCCTTGAAGATGGTAAATTTGTGTTTTCCAACGTCACTCTGAAAAGATGACAAAGAGGCAGGATAGAGGGATCTCCAGATTCTAGAAGAAGAAGTAATCTGATTTTGGAGTGTATTTGCCTCAGTTAGAGACAGCAGGAGCAGAGATAAAGTCATTTGGTCATCCTTTGGCAGGGACAAGTTCCTAAGCCACAAAGATGGAATTCAGGATGAAGAAACAAGTTCTTCTGGCTGGCATCAGTAATATATCTTCTGGTGTTCTTGAATCTGAAGAGACAAACTGTTTTGGACCTCTTAAAATACACAACACCATTAAAATGCTCAGATCTTCTATTACTACTGAGTTTGTAGATGCATGTTGGCTAGACACAATCCACTGTTTCCTTGAGATCATATCATTCTTCATAAACTGGAGACACACTTCTCTTCAGTCTCACCAATTCAATTCTACAGGTTGCATCAAAAGAATAAGCTATGATAAACTAGATATTTTGTAGCTTTATCCAGAATCTGCACTTCAGAGCTACATGGCATTTATCACTGCAGATATGAAAGGGAATGAACGAGAGTCAGAACTGTAAGATCTGAGAAGGAATCATTGGTGTATACTAATAATGCAGTAGAAGAAAACTCACAATCCATTTTATAGAACACAGAAAGACCTTTGGAGTCTGTTCTCCACAGCAGTAGTGGCTTTCCTGAAATTTGACCTGGTGTTCACTGAGGTGGAAGGAGTAGTAAACTCCAACCCATGAAAAAAAATTACCAATTTTGAAATTCTTATGTAAACTAATTCTATCTTGGTCATCTTCTTTATTAATTTAGTTGTAGACATCAATCTTTCACTTATTCCTGCCTTAAATTTTCCTTCATTTTGAAGAGTTCTCAGATAGGACAGGACTACCTTCATTATCCTTATTGAGAAATATGTAAGATTTACAACCATGCTCACTTTGTTCTGCAAGGGAATAATATCTAAACAATCTGATTTCAACTTGTTTGAGAGTTGTTCACTCCTCCCACTGTGTATGTTCAGAATGCTCTGTATGGCTGACTCTCCACTTTTCCTTCTCTATTAGAAGGCTGAAAAGCAGGGCTGTGACAGGGTGGGGGTTTTGATATTTTCTATAATCAGTCCTAATGAATAAGGAAATACCTCAAGAAAACTATGTTATTTTGGAGAATTGAAGGTATTACATTTTGAACAATTGGGGGCCACTTTTGCACTCCCTCCTATCAGTTCTACAACTAAGCAGTGATGCAGAGTTTCTGAAGCCTGTGCCAAATACCCAGGGAAAAAGGCAAGAGTTCTGCCTGCAGCTATTTAGGTAGCAGATGAGGTGAGGTTTCAGAACACCCCTTTCCCTCTGAGGTGTAATGTATCACTCTGACTTGCAGAAATGATACAAAGAAGCCCCTACAGACTACAAAGGAGGGTGAGACAAGGAAGAAGCACTAGTTTTAGAGCATGCCAGCATGACTCACACAATACTGGCATATGAATATCATCTTTCTGTATGGTAATTCCTGATGTAGTGGAAACTGACAATTTTCCAAGAAAATTTAAAAGGACTACTAGATATTCAAAGAGCTCTTGCACAGCTGTGAATGTCAAAGGGACTGGCAGAATGAAGCTGCAAATGAGTGGAAACATCTTTGATTTTGGTGTCAGGACGCTGGAAAAGCAGAACTTCATGGAGAAGTGCAGAAAACCAGTCATTAACAAACAGCCTTAAGAACTCATTTTTATTTTCCATCAGAGGCACAAAATTATTCTTCAGACATGAAGTCAATGTCTCAAATACGCCAGCAAAGGACAAGGGGGAAAAAAAAGAATAAGAAAAATAAATCACAAGTTGAATCTTTTGGGACAAAGGCAGAAAACCTCTCGGCTAGACAGGTGAATTGTAGGGTTCGCACATGGAAGTAATATTTGCAAAAATCACTAATTATTAATTAATGACATGCAACTGAAATCTATTTGCATTTTTCTTTAAATATTGCAGAAATATTTTCCCATTATTTCAGAGTAATTCTCTCAGTGTTCAGGTTCCGCAGATGATAAAAGGATGCTTTACAGTGGATCCTGGATACAGTCTTACCTTAGGACAAACTATTCCACAATAAAAATGTATAAATTAGAGCATCACACTGCAAGTGTGATGAAGGAATTGCAGAAGATTTCATTTCTCATGATTTGTACAGTATGTCTACTCATAAAAAATTTAGATTACGCTTTCTGCATAGCCAGAGGCAAGACTCCCCTCTCACAGGGAGATTAGCAAGGCAATGTATCATCAGTCTCCCTCTTTCCAAAAGAACTGTATCAATGAATATTGCCTTTAACCCATTCTCTCTTTAGATGTTCCTCACTTTTGTTCTTAATTTCAGTATCCAAAAGACTCAAAATCAGAACAGAACTAAACAAAATTTGAGACCGAAAATGTCTTGGGAGTTGAATGTTTGGATTATCTTCACCTGCCCAACAAGTTTTACTGACCTTTCAGTCTCTGACTTAGCTTATAACATTTCACATCACAACACTCATTCCTATAATTCTTTATACCATAACTAGTCTTTTGTGAGTATTTTAGAGTATATTTGCTTTTGGGGAAAGGACCATGACTTGTCTAGATTTCTGTGACTGCAAAAATGAACATCATCAAGCTGTAGGCCTAGACTCCTGTCAAATATAGACTTGCAAGTTTTCATAGGATAAAACTAGGCATACCAACATTAAAGAAGCAAATTTGGTATATGAAGGTTATTTTTAGGAAAATCAGTGAATTGCATTGCCCTGAATACTGATGATTCCCCGTAACATGTATTGGCTGGCATGTTAACTATTTTCATCAAAAGATTAGTGTTTATGTGCCCTAAAAAAATATGAAGCTTCAAAATGAAAGAACTGTGATTCTAGATCAAAACAATAATTACTGATTAATACAAAATCTAGCTCGACCCTAGAAAATATCCTCATGTTTCTATTACCAGCTCATTTGCCCCCTAAAACTTGTATGTATTCTTAGAAAATGTGTAGATACAACTTACTGCTATTTTAATGACAGATTAGATACAGTGGGTCTCTGAGTTAGCAATGAGAAACATGCTGCAACAGCTGCAAACTTCTCCTAATGACAGATTAGCCAAAGGCATGGAAAGAGTTACCATACCATGTAAAGAGATACATAAAGAGGCTGTCACAAGTGCAATCACTCTTTTCCATGGGTAATATTTTGCTACAGTCTGTGTACTCACTCATATTGTAATCACATAATTTTCATGAACCACAAGGTATTGCTGGTCACTGTATATATGTGCATTAGTCCTATAAATCTTCATCTGAAATTAAGATAGGAGGTGAGGAGTCTATAGACAGAGGCTCTGAAGTGAGACAGGGAAACCGAGCAGTTTTACAGTGAGGTGGTTTCTTCATTGATATATACACCCCCTTAAATAATATTAGGGAAAGTACTTCCTGTACCTAACACATGGCAGATCATTGATTCATCCTGTAAGTATTTCACATTTCACAGCGGTCAAAACAAAAGGCAAACTTTCATGTGATGTAAGTTAGTAGCAGTTTTACACTGTAAAACATGTCATATGCTACCTTATTAGCACTAACTGACCACAACTACCATACACCCAGCCTATCAGAAACACCCTGGAATAACCTATACATGACATTTGTATGATGAATTTCTGTTTTTTCCAATTACATATCATTACTACTGCTGTTTCTGAAAAGCCTGGAGGAGGAAGAAGAACAGACATGAGGGAAGAAGCTACCACAATGGTGATATTTCTTTTCATCTTTGGCAGAAAAAA